GGTCAAACGGGTTGGTATAGGGTGTGTTTCAAGTTTTCCTTCTCTTTACAATGCTGTTGTCTTGCGTAATTTGGTCCCTTACTGGGCTCTTACGACACCCACGGGATGAATAGAGGTGGTGACACTCCTTATAATCCGTCACCACACGGAAATTTCACCACCACACTATCATTTGCAACATCACAATAATACAGACATGTTAATACTTAACAAATAAGATACCATGGCTGATAAAAACCATTTATAGTATGTATTACCACTTATACCTTTGCTTACTACTGACTGTACAGTATAACTCAATCAATATAATAACGGTACGATATATTAACAGACATGGTACATTCTTCTACCTGTAATATAATATTATCTTAGGACCAATAAGTTCTCTTAAAATCAGTTAATAAAAAAATAACATAACTTGTAACTGTCCTGGTCTACACACCATAGTAAAAAGATAACATACAGCCACAGCAGTTTTAACAACAATTTAAAGTTAAAGCAAAAGTCAAAGTTAACAAGTTGTCGTTCAGTTCAACATTAAATCGGTCTGTCATTTTCCATCAGTAAATAACCATCTAAAGACAATTTGTCAATCTACACTATAATATTATAAAGCTGAAGAGTTTGTTTGTTTGTTTGTTTGAACGCGCTAATCTCAGGAACTACTGGTCCGATTTGAAAAATTCTTTCAGTGTTAGATAGCCCATTTATCGAGGAAGGCTATAGGCTATATATCATCACGCTAAGACTAATAGGAGCGGAGCACCAATGAAGAATGTTTCAAAAACGGAGAAAATTCATTACTATTGAGAGACGCAGACGAAGTTGCGCGGGTCAGCTAGTATTATAATAAAATTATGTAAAGAAACCCAGACAGCTCCGACACATACAGAAATGTTTCTTAAATCATTTAATAGGATAGTATAAAGACCGCACTGAAACCACATGAAGACGCGATCGTACTTGTGGCTTCCACCGGGATAGTCCTTTGAGGGGGATCTTGAAATAAAACGGTCTAGGTCCTCCCCAGAGTAGGATGGACTGGCGCCCGAGGCTGGTCGCCGGGGTGGTGTTTAGTAGCTCCTACATAGCCATGATTGCGTCCCTAAGGAACCGAAGATCAAAGAGAATTTTAAACACCTTGAAAAAGTACACAGTTTTCAGTTACACATGTAACTTTTAAATACTACTTACTAAAGAATTAGTTTTTTTCATTGATACATTGAGAAGGCATTTCTTTTCCATCTCACTTGTTAGAAAGTAATAATGCAGATAACGATTGGCGACACCTTTACCATAACCTTATTCACGCGACTTTTCAACGTGCCAGGGCTATATTTGGCTGATAAAATAGACGTAGTCAATTCATTCTAGATTATTGCGACTTCAGGTAATGGGCAACTAGTAGCTCAATGCGGGAATGGCGAGGGTCAAATTAATTTAAAGACAGCTACCGCACACTCAACGAAGTACATCCAAAGTAACTTTAGGGTAAATCTACAGATCTTTTAGTCTTCATTCAAGATTGGTTTAAAAATAAAATAAAAATGGTTTAAAATGATTCAGAATTCCTTGGAAGAGGTCTGAGCCATGGACTGGATTTATGAACGTACTTGGTATTGGAAGTAAGTTATTGTAATGGATATATATACCTTTGAAAGTGATAGGACTTACGTGACACACTTGTATATGGTTTGGAAAGCTAAAAATATGTAACATTAGCGTCATCGATGGGCCTGTTGGTTTAGTTGTTAGTGACCCTGACTGCTAAACCGGAGATCGTGGGTGCGATTCCCACCCAGGACAAATATTGTGTGATGAGCACGGTCATTTGTTCTGTGTCTGGGTATAATTTATCTAAAATGTGTATGTATTTAAAAATATATAAGTATATTTATTAGCAGTCTGGTTACCATAGTACAGGCTCTGTCTAGTTTGGGATCAGACGGTCGTGTGTGAGATGTGTGATATATATTAATATGGAGGAGGAGCAATGTTACAGAGAGAATAGATCTTTAAGTTCGGCATTAATTGCCATTAAGTCGGAAGAGCAGCCATCTAAGACGACTCAAGTGAACCGTTCCCTTAGGAAATCATATATCCAGTAGCAGATTTTAGCTGCTATGTCGTAAGCTGAAAGCTGTAATTAAAGAGCCCCGTAGTAGGCCCAGACAAAGACTTATAGAGATGTTCAATTATACTCTTTTTATTTTAATCTTTGTCAAGATGGGGTTATAAAAATGGTTTATTTCATATGCTAAATCAGATATTGCAAAGTTATTTGGCGAGGTGCTTAAAATCTTGAAATTAAGAGGGCGCTGTGAACTGAGTTAAAATTCAATTGTTCCCTTTTATTTATAAAGACGTATAAACCTTAATGCTCTTGCATGCAAAAAAAATGAATGTTAATATTCATTTTTTTTCCAATTAACATAAAAAATTATAAAAAAATGTTATAAAATTTAATTCTTGATTAATCGTGAAGCATACCTCTCTTGTTGATGCAATAATTTCATATTCTCAACGGTGCGTATAATCTTAGGGGTATAACTAACCTAAAGCTACTGTATCTATGTATGTACATGACCTAACTTTTGTACTCGCTATGACGTACAGCTTAATGAATAACCGTGGCGCGCCTGAAATACAGCCTGAAAATTACTGCATTAATTCGTTCAACGATATTTATTATAGGGTAATAATTAAAGAAGGAGACAAGGAGGGACAGTAGAGACTCATCAAAGAACTTAAATCTTAATAATAAAATATGTGAAGATATAAAATTTTAGTATTAATTAGTATGATTAATGTTTCATAAAAGTGATTGAAGGAAAAATAGCATTCTCAAGTTTGATTGCATCATTTTTTAATGGAATAATGTTAGTTATGTTCTAAAAAAACCTGGCAATGAAAAATATTTTAAATTGAGAATCTTTTCTATTAACGTTTTAATCTAGCGGGTCTAAGGAATGGAACTTTTTAGTATAGCGTACTTTATAATTTTTGAAACACTATTAAGTAGAGATTTTGGCCCCTTTCCAACCTTTACCGTTGACTTAACCCAATAACAGAAAATGATTTTTACGTAGTTTTTAAAATTCACGAAAACCAATTAATATCAAATACTCATAAAAATATTAAGCAATTTAATAAAGTACTATGAATTTAATTTAATTTTTAAAAGAATTACAATATTTTTAAAGATTGGCTCTTGTCATAACTATTTCACAACTTTGTTTCAATGAGTACAACATGTTCTCCGTGTATAAAAAATAAAGAAATAAAGAAAAGAATTTCATGTATGTCACCATTGGACATTGAAGTCAGTAATAGTTTTATAAAAGTTAATTATTGCTTAGGGAGCAATAATTAACTTTTATATACAAATAAATACCATAGCAAAAAATAAAATGCTTATGTATGTATTTGGGCAAGTTTAATGGCGAAGTGTTTAATAGGTGCCTAGTTTTTTTTTATATCTCTGAGAACGTTTATGTTAAGGTAAACGTACAAATCTTGTGGCTTCTCAAATTTTCTTTTCAAATGAACTCCCAAAATATTACTAATGTAAATATAACAAAACATCAATTTGTAATATAAATACGGAACCATAAAACTTGAAGAAATTAATTCGTGGAATTACAAAATTGGCTTAATAATGGTCGGTATACCCCCGTATAATACAGAATAGGGGTGGATCGGGGGTGCTCTGACGAGATAATTACATTATATTTCATTCACTTCAAGGCTGAATGCCGCCGGATCTGTGCTAGAGCGGCCCATTAACATTTTAAAATAATATTACGAGTTCACTAGCTGATAGGGTTATAAAGCCTCCGGAGGTCCATTGTTCTCTAAGAAAGCGATTGAAACATATTCAATAACATTTTTGTGTGTAATTAGGCTTTACAAATTTCGAGAACCACTCTTTTATACATTAAAATTCAAGTATTTATTTTATAATGAAAGATATTTTAATTTGAGATGAATGTACAATTTATAAAATGGATTTATCTAGTTATTTTGGTCTTCATCATTAATTTCTATTTAGAAATAATCTTGATCTCTCGCTCCTCTGTTAATTGCTTCTACTTCAAAAGACACATCATGACCTTAAGGTCCAGGGGGAGTAGCTTTGGGCGAAGAAGTAAGACTAACGAAAACAAGACCCACAAGGCAGCGGCAGGTCTCTAAGGCTGGTTCGCGCCCAATATCGGGTAAGATGTTCTACCATTGGTCAGTGTCTGTCATCAGCTTTGGCTTTTCGTAGCTAACAAGAATTAGCGCTGTGTGAATGGCGCTCCTCACTTTCTTAATTATGCAAAACGCATAAATGCCGAAGCAGCTAGCCTCTGAGATGACAAGCTTTCTTGCTTTCTCTATGGAATATACTAAGTAACGCTAACTATGGCCCATGTTCTTGTTAATTTCATAACCCAATATGCAAGTGAAACCTATTATGCAAAGAAAATCACAAAAACAAGAAGTAATTCGGCTTTCGTAATTTCCAACTTTATACATGTTTGGGCAACTTCTGCGGCTATTTGCAGCTTAGCGTTTTTAAATATTGATGTTATATATTGATGCACAGATTTGAAATTAAATTTTGTAAATCAACAAAAATATCAACTTTCTCCAGATACTCTAACGTGATTTTTTTTTGTATTTCTCAGTAATGTTTCGTTTATGAGTTCTAGGCAAAACAATCATGTGTTAACACTTTCTTTCTCCATACCTCTCTAAATTATAATTTAAGGACGGGATTACTCCCCAATTAAGCTCATCTCACCTGGGCTAAATAGTCAGGTGGAATGTCAAACTCAAATTGACTAAAACCTAAGTATTCCGTTATTAGGTCTTTTACTAGCTTGGTCCTTGTTGAGAACGGACCTTATGGTCTTTAACGGAGGGTCCTGTCCCATACAATTTAGAGAGGCGTGCGCGGAACACGTCACGATAATGGTAGGTTTGTTCTATTGCAATTGAAATGAATTTCTTACCTTGTAGGTGCCAAGATGCTCAACGACGCACGGCAGGCTGGCGTCCCTGCCAAGCGCGACCGTCACGTTGGGGATTGGCTCCGAAAAACGAGGTTCTTCCGTGAGCACTGGGGAAGTGAAACATGTCATTAGTCATACTTGACATTTTCGTAGTTAAATAATAGAAGTAATTATGTTGCACTAAGAGAGCAAACTACGCAGGATAACAGCGCTGCAAAGAGAAGGAAAACTTGACACAAACACTAAACCAACCCGTCTGGCCAGCGTGGTATATATCGGGGCAAAATCTCATTGTCAAGGGGAGTCTTATGTATATAGACTATTAAAGGCTGTTGATGATGATGATTCGTTAAATATATAATAACAAGTATTTCATACTTAAATAATGTAATACTAAATTTATAACACTATTTATTAATATTCAATCCCATCGTGATGACCGCCTTTTTGTTGAATTGAAGTTTTGTCTTTCTCTGTACTCATGAGCATGTATACTTATATAAATTGGTTAATTATTGGTTGAGTAACAAAGTAGTAGGAATTTGTGAGCTTTTTTATTAGATCTAAACTGGCTTGTCACGGCTTGATTTAAAACTTCTCTACGCGTAATAATTAATTCAATATTACTTTATTATTACTTCTTTAACTATTTGTATACACATTATAGTTGAAATAGAAAAATTAATTAAGTGTATGTGTGTGTAATTGATTTATTGTAATCAACGTTTCATTTAATTTTTTAATACTATATGAACAATATTTCTCAGATATCTGTTTATTTATTAAACAATACTATTAGTATTCAGTAAAGACTATGAAGAAGTGGTACCTAACACTCAATTCTTGGTGGCGCAATAATTAGAACCGAAGATTGCCACTTCGTTGCTAAGACCCCCAAGGGACAAACGGTTCATAAGTCAGTGTAAAAATTACTTGGCTTTCTTTTAACGACAATTTTATCAAGTTATAATTAAGTGCTACTAATTATGCTAAGCAACTTAACAACAAGTTTTTCATAATAAATAATATTAACGTTACTCGTTGGCAGTTAATTATAAATAAATGACAATTAACCGTCTCCAATTAATTATAAATTTAATGACTTGTTTTCACAACTAAAACCAGAATTTCACATTTAAATAATTATGAAAGACATTTCGTATTGAAAAGTTCCAAGTCATGAATATGTAACCCTCCCATAAGATTTTAATGCGATGTAAAAAGTAAAACTTTGCTTAAATAATAAAGAGGCATTTTGGAGTGGAGAAGAATGTAAAAGCGCTTAGATTGATATTTTTAATCAACCGCAAAGTTAGAGAAGCCGGGAGCTGTCGACGCGTAATGACAAGCAAAATATTGTTTATTACGAAACTTTAGAAAATTCCCTCACTCTGCCCTTCTTGTCGTGGTAAGCCGGTGATAAGCTTTGTAAAGGGTACATGAAAAATTAAGGTCGAGAACACATGAGCGAGATGAAAATGTAAATAAGCTAATTAGCCGTAAACTATGAACAAGCACAAAACAATATTAATTAGCAGAAACAAATATAAATTGATAAAGCTAACTTACTTCGCTTTCTAAACAGAAAGATAACGTTAAATATTTGTTACCAAATACGAATACAAAACATACACTCACATCTGTACCTATAAAGAGGTAGACAGAAGAACTTAAAATTTCGTCCTACTCACGTAGTAGCCAAACCCTCCTTTCTAAGGAGAAGCCTATGTCCAGCTGTGGACTATGGAAGGCTGTTGATGATGATGATGTAATAGGGACAAGATTATTGCCGTGAACTGAGGATTAGGATTATCATTGGCTTCTTGCGTCTGTTCCAGACGATTTCGTTACTGTCCTGTAACTTTGTTTCGTAGCTATGCAAGTCAATGTAAGCCATCTGCAGGTTCTACCGCACACTGCACATTTCAGTCTCTTTTCGGCCCATTTCTGGAACCAGGTGTTATCGTGAATTGCGCGCCCATCGATCACGCGGTTCCTCTATTCATCACGATCTCCAGCTACCTTCTCCCATGCTACATGATCGATTTCAAATGAGATCATGTCCCACTTGGCGCAATGTTTAAACTGCAGTATGGGTCTACCAATATCAATCCCTTGGCGTTACGTAGAGGTGTAGCTTCACTCTGTATTCTCTATCATATATAGCAAAGAGTGTGCTCCGCCATCGTTAGACACGGCAAAATTTTCAAATTTCATTTTTATAATTGGCTCTCAATCACCGTGCGCTTTTCTACGGTATTGCCGGACCGATACGACCTTCAAGAAAAGTCAGACGTTTATGGGCGGTGGTAGTCACTTTTCATCAGGTGACCCGTCTGCTCTTTTGCCCCCTCATCCATAGAAAAAAATTGTTTGATCAGGTCAGGGTCGAATATCCCTAACTCGAACTGGCTGTGGCTTAAAATTCCTAGTCCTCTAACCTCTTACGTAGAAACATAATTAAGTTGACAATGCTAAATTTCTAAAGTAAATTTCCATGTATTGGCGTAGATATATCAGCCACATATCAAACCTAAATCTCAATACACTTTAACCTGCGCATAATTTAGGGTAATGCCTATTCGATAAGGATAACGGTTAACTTTATTACATTGGTGGGTACCCGAACGCCTCTAAACCTCACCTTAAACATAACAGTTTGCATTCTCCCCCTCATTATTCGCCAGAGAAAACCGAAACATTTGCAGAAGCGGAGGAAACATCTTATTAGACACTGGAATGAAATTTATTCAACATTCATAACAGGCAATCAGAGAGTCGTGCACACACAGCCTAATGAGTCATACCCCGTCGAGTGCGGTAATTAAAAGTACGTTACAAACTCTGTTTATATCATTTTGAGCCAAAATATAAATATTACAAAGATTCGTACTACGTTTGTAAATTTACTTTATGTTTCTCTTTGCCATGAAACGATGACTGTTTTGTCAATAGATTTTTGTACTTCGGCTGTTCTTCAAAATAATTACTTTCTTACAATTTTGATTCTCAGATTAATATTGGAAAGAATATTGGGTTGAAATTATTTCCTTGTATATTGTAATATCCACAGTTATTTTTAAGATTAATCTTCTCTATTTCTTTTGTGTTCTTTGCATTGAAATGGCATCCTTAGGCAATTATTTACAGTATTCAAAATCATTTGGATACATTCTAATAAAAATGTAAATAACACAATATTTTTAATATAGGTTTAATAAAACATCTATCCTTCCTCTCAAAATACCTTTGAATACATTACACGGTACTCCAGCCAATAAAAATCATTTGCTTGAGGCATTTTCCTAAAATAGCAATTTATTCATATTAGCTAATGATTTACTCTTTTTAAATAAAACAAAATTCTATTAAGTTTCATGAATGTAATGAAAATATAATCCCATGAACAAAAACATTGAAGGCAGCATTTGGAAGGTAAGTAAAAACAGACTAAACATTTGTAAGCATATACCAATGGGAATTATAAAGAGGTTTTAGCATTCGCACCGTTGCGTACCAGCGTACCGTAAACTACCAACTTCTATAGAATATTTTCCATTCCCAGTATGCCTTTTAGCAAACACTCGAGACTTTATAGCGTCGGTATAATAAACAGTGCATACAATTATGTATGAAGTAATAAAACACAATTCTGCTCTTTCTCCCTCACATTCGCGCATAATTAACTCATTTGTTTGCAAGGTACGCTTTCATTCGGCTGGCTTGACTGAATGCCTGAGACCTTTTTTTTTGGTGGCGGGGTGAAAAATCCTTTCGGATCTCCGGCTCCTTTGGGATATAGTAGCTAGAAGTATGACCACTTCAAACCACCCCGATGGCCAGTCTTAGGCGCCCTGCTCTAGGGAGAACCCGGGCCCGAATCCGCCTCTAACTAGGCCCTACTACGGGTTGCCGGCTGTGGCACTCTTGCGGCCGGCGGATTTTGACTGGTGTCAGTACTCGCCAAGGATGGGGCGGGGCGGTCTGCAGCCTCCTTTTTCTTATTCTTAGGTGAGAAGCACTTCTTGTTCCCCAACCGATGGTCCGCGGGGCGACCAAGGTCTGAGCAGACCAGGCACCTCGACACTTTTGCGGTATATGTGCGTGTCATGTGACATGTGCCACTACACGCGTAGCACTGTGCCCCACGGTCTGTCTCGTGGGGGTACTTCGCTCTCACGTGCCCCATTTCGAGGTACCGGTAGCACTGCAACGGACGTGTTACTAGTACCTCTACCCTGGCCAAAACCCAGCCCACCTGCACCCGTTTGGCGTTCGCAACTTTGCGAACCGCCGCAAACTGGCTGCGGACCCAGGCTGTGCCGTGCAAACACGGATGTTCACGACTTTGACGTCGGAAATAGGACATTCCCCCGCTGTTGTATAGCCTTGGCGACCTCGATTTGGGTGATGGATTCCTCCAAGTACATCTCCCGTATATCACCTGTCCTTCACAGACGCGTAATAATTGCGTCCGTGACGGACAATACCTTCCGCAGGCGTGGCTTGGCTTTGCTCTTTCGGCCAAGACCCAAGACCCAGGTCTTCTATACCGTTGGTGCCCCGGGTTGCTGCTGCCCCTTTGCCGCGGGGGGAAGCCGTAGCTCCTGGGTATCTCGCTTTCTCCTCTTCCTTCTCTCCTTCTTCTTGTTTTCCTTATTTTTGGGCGGCGCTACACCGTTGGTCCCTGCTTTTACGATGTACCGAGTTCCGTTATCTGTCTCAGAAACTCATGATCAGATCTGCATGAAATTTTAATGGACCATTTCGAAATAAACCCCTTTCGAACAAAAAAAGAATTTTGAAAATCCGTTTATATATGACGGAGTTATGCCAAAAACATACAAAAAAAATAATATAAACAACCGAATTGATAACTTCTTTCTGAAGTCCGTTAATAAATAAAAAAATGAATACACTGTAAAACTATACTGTAAAAAATTAAAGGTTATTTAAGTTTACGTGTGTTGTCACGTGATAAGCATCGTTTATAGCAATTTCGAAAATAGAATTGATCTATTTGTGTTTTAGACCGCAATTGTGTCAAAGAAAAGTAATATCGTCCCTTTGTCGTAACATTTTTCATTCAACTTGTTTACAAAGTACC